TTCTTTCTTTAATCTGCTGAATGGCCCAGACCTCCCACGCATGCTATGTCCCAGTGGAGCATATTACAATAAATCAGTGAACAAACATAATCTCAAGTTGACCCAGCTTTTTGTATTTATATTTTATAAACTTTAATAAAAGCGTATCATTATATTGGTTTCTATATTGCCTTGAAATATTTTAATAATCAGAAAAAAATAATTTACAAACCAGTTAAATTCTTAACTTTCAAAAATGAAAATCAGTAATGTACTCTCTTATACATATATTATGTGTAGCACATGTGTTATATACTCTATAACACATGTGCTTCTCCAACACTAAACGAATAGGAAATGCTACAACCAGTAATACATCGGGTGGGAAAGTACAGAACTGATAGTTCACATATAAAGGTGGGAAATTTGAAATGTCCCACACCTCCCTTGTTCCAGTCCTCCTACTTCTCCCCTATAGAGCATTGTTTACCTAACTTGAACATCAGGGATTTTTTGTAATCCGGAATATATACAGCACAACCGAAAATCCTGCATGGATTATTAAGCTTGGCTATCTGATGCTGAAAATCAACTGGATTCTCATTGTCAAAATTTGGAAACCAAACATTGACTTTGGCATAAGAGACATTAAAATTCGATTGAAAGAAAATTAAGTCACACTTAGTGTGGAGTATTTAGGTGCTGAGAAACGTTAGGATATGCCACTGCCAGAATAGAAGCATTCTGGACCTTTTTGAGATCGACATTTGAGAATAAATTTTTCAGCTAATAAATAGTCATCTTAAATGTAAGGGATGTTCCATAGATTTGGCTAGAAGATTCTACCATTGATACCTTAGAATTGACTCCCATATGACGTCACGCGATAGTGACTGAATTATCTCTTTCGACTGGTGTGTCTTTATGAGGTATCTCTTCAGTACACAACTAAAGAAATTCTTGCTACCATGTCACCTCGGGGTAAATACAAGGGTCTATCCACCTTGTGTAACATCCGGGTGCTCTCCCAAGGGCTTCGGAAACTTTGACGCTAGCTCCTCTACTTAAATCCATTTCCAGAGTATGGACTCATAAATGTTTTGCCTGATGGCTCGTCTTAAGAAAGACGAGATATTTCTTACATGAGAATATTCGTCGTCGAAATAAACATCTGGTGTGAAACTTCAGTGACTTGCCTTGACAAAGACAAGATATTTCTTACATGACAATATTAAGGTTGTCGAAATAAAACACCAAATATTCAGTCGAACCATAAAACTCAGCCACAGAGTATGATACGCTAAAAAAGAAGCAGAGGTCAGGGACCAATAGGAAAATTCGAGGCGGGGCGATGCGCCTCGGAGTGCGTACTAGTCGCTCGAGGACAACCATAAGAATCTTACTGCTGTTTGTCACTGGATTTCTCAAAGGCGATATGTGAAAATTAGGAAAATAAAAAGTAAGATGCATAAGAAATCTTTATTTTAAATATTTGGTCATATAAAAATAGAACCTTTAAGTAAAGGAACCCGTCAACAAAGAAAGTAAACAAAATAATTTTTAAAATGGGTTTTAGAACCAGTATGAAAATATCGGTCTGTCCTACTAATAATTCTTAATAGCTTATAAATAATAACGTTTTACAAAATGAGTATGAATACCAGAAACTAAGATACTATTTTATAAACAGTCAAATCTTACTGAAACAAATTATATATATACACGAATTATAATGTGATAATTTTGTTCGATAATATTTATAACATATAAACTTGTTTCCATATCTTATTACCTATATACATTTTGGAAATAAATCTGATTAATACAAATAAATAAATATTAAATCTATCCTATATTGTACCAACTTTTACAGACTCACTGGCACCAATCTGGTTCCTGAAATAAAATAATAGGTTTTAATCGATTTGATTTATCTCTGTGTTTATAAATATTTGTGGAAAATTAAGAAATCATAATCATTCATACAATCATACCAAACAAGATTGTATACAGTATCTATCTATACATATAAAAGGCTAGCATGTCAAGTCACACTGTTTGTCCAGTAAGATAACTACGCCACCTAGGAAATAAATCTGAACTACCAACATCTGACAAATTTTGATTTATTGACTTAAAGAATGCCTCAGCCTGAGTTCAAAATAAACAACTGATCGAATCCTAACATGCGACACATCAAATGAAAGGGGAGGACATAACGAACATATTCCAATAGAAAAAACAAAGAGACTACCAAAAGAGCACTACACATCATCTTCGTTATTAATTAACATATAGCGACATGCGACATATCACATAACGATAAATTTGCTTTATTGACCTGAAGAAGGTCCCTTCACTCTTGACCAGCCAAGAGTAAAGGAACAAAAACATGTTAATTATAAGGACATAGAAAAAGCACAAGTACAAATGGGTAGTAACTGCAGGTATGTTACACATATTAATTGTAAAATGATGAGTGAAACATTTATATTCCTTTTAAATGTTCACGGATTCAATGTTGTTCTAAAATTAGTGATGAAGAGAAATCTCGAGTTTTCGATGACTTTTGTTGCTTTGGAAACTAAAAACAAGCAAGATAGTTATTTGGCAGGTAAAATTAATCGTTTTATTTAAACAATTAAAATATTAACAAGTATATTTCATTGTAGGGCTAATATCTTATCACATTCCAAAGCAAAGAAGAAGCCGAAAAAATACGCTGAAATTAGGGATGTTTTACTAACAGAAGTAGAAAATGATGCGCCAAGGCACGGTAATGTTCCGCAAACGCTCAAAGACCAACATTCTGCTGCCTATAATTATAAAATAAGGTTGGAAAAAAGAGAAGAACCAGTATGTGTAAAGGCTTTTTGCAGTCTTCATGAAATAACATATAAAAGGGTTCGAAGGCTACAAAAACATTTCTTTAATGGTAGATCAGCACCAAAGATAAACGAGGCAAGCATTCAAACCGACCAAATAAAACAGCAGAAATTACATTTTCTTTGAAGTCAAGGACTTCTCTCTATTATAGACAATCTGTGAAGTCACAAATTCAAATTAAGGCTTCTTGTATTATATTCATGATTGGGAAGCAGGTAATAAAACAAAGTAAAATTTTTAAAAAGGAACATAAGTTCAAATATATAGATTGCTGAGAAAAAAAAATTATTCTTAAAAAATTACCTTGTAAGGAGTTTCATATCCACCTTTACTTTTCATTTGGTTTTGAAGTGCTATCAATTGTTCACCTGGCATTTCTACATCTCTACTACCTACATGACCTGTATGTTGAAAATTCGTTGGATATCCTATCATTGACCTGAAAGTAGTTATTTTGTTAGGTAAATGAGTAAATAATTTCATACATTTTAAGTACTACATACTTTAAAAATATTTAATCCTTATATCATTCTCTTAAGAAAAACTATAATTATAAATATTTTTTGTATATATTATTAAACAATACTATAAAACAAAGAGCATATTGACAATTTGTTATTTTGTTAAAATTATGTTATTAGATTATTAAGTACATGTTTGAAGGAGGGTGTCATCATTGTATGCTTAAGTTAAAGTTGATTTCATGTAATCAAATGAACTTCCATGAATCTTCCAATAAAGTTATCCCAGGAACTAAATTAAAAAATATTGACAATATCATTTTAAAGTCATCTACTTTAAAATGTATAATATATATCTGAATTGTCAATATGAATGAATCAGATAAAATTAAATTATTAGAAGAATTTTTTACCAAGTAAGAAAAACAAAATTTGTTTAATTTATTAATGTTTTGTATTTTGAGAACAATTTCCAAAGGGGAAATCGAAATGTCAAATAATCTTATTTTAAAGCAAAATTATTGAGGCCTGCTCCCAAAAAATAGTAAATTATAATGTTAATTGTTATTCTCAACAAATACTGATAATATTTCTTCTAAACCTTGGATTCTACTTTAATTTATAATTCTTATCACTTCATTTTTGTTTCACTTAGGCTTTAAAAAGGTACAACGAATGTTGCTATAATAAATAATGAATTGGTTTCTTAATTCTTATCAGTATTGAAATATATTAGTAACTAAGCTCTAAAGCAGAGACAAATGGAGACACCATAAATCACCAATATCTACACCTAACCAATCTAAAATTATACACAATGCCAAGTCATAGGAATAGAACAATTAGACACAAATAAACCAAAGGATGTTGAAAACAATCTCTACTTTTTACTTTAGTACACTACACCTTACCTATCAATGTGATGTTTTCTTTTGGGTGGCTGGGGAATACAACAACTAAATAATGTTACCCTCAACTCATTTATTGCAGCCATTTTAAAATATCTAAAACAAAAATATAGGTATTAATATTAGGTAAATTTGAATTACTTAAAACAACTTTTTAAAGATTAAAATCATAGAATTTACCTAGATGTAATCTTGATGTAGAAAAATTTCTTTATTTAAGGAGTCCCTTAATTTTATTGACAAATGAGTAAAATTTTATTATCTTGTGGTTATTCTTAATTAAAACTGATAAGATAAAATACATTTATAAAATCATTTCATGATTATTGATATGTCAGGGACATAAATGTTCAGAATGAAAAATAAATTTGCATCAAATATTATTGTATAAAACAATTACCATAAGTACTTACATTTAAACTAAATTTCGTTTACTTTATCTTAGGAACTCATAATTATTAAGCGTATAAAAAATATAAAAATAACAACAAAGAATTAAAATAAACGTAAAAATACTTTTTGTTCTAAGAGCTTTAAGGTTAGCCAAAAAGGTTGGTGGTGGGGGGTTCGGGAGGGGCAATTCAATTCGATTGGAATCGATTCAAAGATGAAATACAATCAAAATTAAATTATTTTATCGATAAGAAATCGCCGGATTCGAATATTCTCGCGGTCATAGTTTCTCCTACTTTTATGTGGTTACAAATCCTTAAAAAAATGTAAACGATAACATATAGTTAAAGAAATTAAACACTGACTGTATATTCAGGGCTTCAGGCAGTTATGTGCGTTTGTAATATATAATAAAATTGTACTGAAATCTGGCAACCAATTTTACATATAGAATGATTTATCAACAAAACAAAATACATTAATGGGTGGAAGCGAAAGTGAAGTTTTGAACTAATAATAGGTAAGAACACTAATTTCAACGTTTAAATTATTTAAAATTAATTAAACGATGGGACATCGTACAGATTACGTTACGGTGAAGATAGAAGATGATTTCTTTTGAGTAATAAAATGAAATTGTGTGTAGTTAAGTTTGTAACAATCGACTTTGCGTTCCATTGTTTCTTTATGGACACGAGTTTTAAATAACATACAACGTTGCAAGAAACCAATTTCTGTAAAAAAATCGAATCTACGTATTATACCCCCATAACTAATGATGAAGCTGTAAAATAATTGTATTTTTGAGTAAAATTCATTATTTACTTAAGTCTGGTTAAAACCGGACAATGACCATGACCTTGAATGTAGTAAAACAAATTGAATGTTGCCGGTTTTACAGTTTTTCGGCAAGAGTTAATCCTATTAATGTTCGGTGTTAATGCCCAGATTGCCCAGAACTATTGATGCTTATTTTTATGTTTAAAAAATGAAAAACGTCTTCTTTTTTGACAATTGGCTGTTGCGAAAACGCAACACTGGGCAGTTAGGATGGAATTTTTTTTTTAATAATACCTTGTTTGGAATATTTAGAATATTAAATCATATAAAAGAGTTTTAAATAAACTGGCATGAAAATAATATAAAAAAATTATTGCGTATTGCTATGAAATTTAATAAAACATTTTTCATGTAATGCAACCTTACATTTAATACATTTTTTATTGGTTGTTGAGTGACAAAGGACGCATCGGGTTTCGTTTTTCTTGCGTAGAAATAAGATGACTGAATAAGAAGACCAATACCATTTCTTTGATCTTATATTTGCTCTGTAATAGGCAACATTTTAATCCATCCGATCAGTTCCTCCAATATTTTCGTTATAAGCCCGAATAAGATGTGGTTGTGTTATTTTGATTTTTTTACTTTGGGCAAAGGAGTATGGTAATTCTATGCCAAAGTAACTATGACGTCATTCAACCTATATAAAAGCACCTTATTTTTCTCGTCGTACCAATTTTTGTAAATCCCACGTATGGATTTTTCGAACGTTTCACTGAATGGACACTTTTCTATTCTATTTGATCGTATGGTTCCTACGTAACCGATTCCCTTCGATGTTAAAAAATCAATTAGTTTCATAGAGGCGAAATAATAATCAGCATATGAGCAATGAGGCATAACTCTATCGCATTGTATTTTAGGAATAAGTTGAGCAGACTGCAATATTATTCCACTTCCAAGGCCAAATTATTTTTTGTATTCATTGGGTTTTCCCTTGGCTTCTTGATAAATATTGAAATCTATGAGGTATTATAACCAGATTTCTGATTCCAACACCACGATTTATACCCAAAGCGTAAGGGCTTGCCTTTTATGTGTTGTTTTATACCATGACGCCCATAATATGGTATCATGGCCTCGTCCACGCTAGATTCGGTTTCCCATACGATGTATTCAGTAAATGATTTGCGGAGGCTTTCAAGGTACGGAGAAATTTTGTATGTTTTGTCTGAACAATCTATGTTTAGGTTATCGTTAAAGTGGAGGAATCGTATAATGGTTTCAAATCGATTACGACTCATATTACTTGAAATCAGTATATTTTTAACGTCATCAGATTCTTCTCAGTACATGCGTCTTGTTGGATTCGTGCTGTACCCACTAACTAGTAAAATCCTTGTAAAAGGCTTTTAACTCGTCTCCTTCAAATTCTAGAGTAGTACCTTTTTAAAGAGCATAACGAACTGCCTCCTTTACAATATTTGTTTAAAGCTCTTCATTGAAAAAAAAATCAAAAGATCTGTAAAGGAGTGAGTGGTCGTTAATAAAAGGAATGAGTTTATGTGTTCCATTGAGTTTTGTTATTTTCAATATCCAAATAAAGGAAATTTTCATCTGGTAAATCTCCCTGAATCCATTTCCGTGGTAGGAAAGTTACACTTTTGCACGAATCTCAGTAGATGTCACTTAAATATCTTGATTTTCTTCATTTTGTGTCTCTATTTCTGTTTCCATCCCCATCTCTTCCGTATCTTCTTCTTCCTGAATTTGTGTCACACTTTGAAGATTGGCCTCTTTTTCATATAGATTTATATTTTCTTCGTCGATCCTTCTGTCTTCTTCTTGATGAATTACAGCTTCTGATTCCGCATCCAACATATTTTTGTTTAGGTTATTGAATGTTCCTCCACAGTCTTCATCTTCACTATCTTCATCAGTCAATTCAGTGGGGTCAGGAGGTGCTAGGAAAACATCTGCACTGGAAGCCTACTCCATAAGATATTACTATTACGACCAAAACTGGTCGAGCCAAGTTGATTTGAAATCTTATTTTCACCTTCTAGAACAAAAATGATTTTTTGTACTAATAATATGCCTTGTGCCCAGTGTTGCGAAAACGCAACACTGATAATTGGGCAGTTGTATCAACTAGCACAGATAAAATAATAGCACATACTTGATAGATATATCATCTTCAATGATTTAACAATATGTTGCTATCAAAACCAAATATTTATCGAGTTAATTTATACACAAACGACTTACTACTAACTAAAAACACGTGTTTCCAGAAGTCAAAATTAATCTATCACTTTCAATACGCCATCTGTTAATAGAAACCTAAATTTTGCTACCAATTCGCACTAAAACATACATAGGAAATTGTTGTGAAATAAATCTGAACCTTGACTGCCCGAATAAGTCATGTCATTTTCCAAAAGATGACGCCATAGTGGGCTATGTCAACTGTTGCGAAAACGCAACGCAAAAGGAGCTTCTTTTGACGGAAAAGATTTGGTTTCACGCTTAGAGCTTCTGTACTAGTCGCTCTGATAATTCATGCTAGGATGAAATACGTTTAAACGAATATACAGAGGCACTATAAGTGAAATCAAGTCTTAACTTCCTTTTCTTTTATTTATAGAAAATTGATATTGGATTATTTTAGTTATATTTTTCTAGGTTAATTTTTTTTAACTATGGAAGCAACACTGATCTTTTCTGTTTGCTATAGAACACCAGAAGGTTTCGTTACGGAAGAATTTGAACAGTTAGAATACGATACTGTTGGTAAGTATTATAAACGGAGATATATCGGCGGTATTTCGGCCTTAAGGTCGATTCAGACCCATCAGTCCCGTCATAGTCTCGGCGCCGAACCGGTCCTGTTTGGTCACAGAACTATCAACTATCTGACAGCTGGGAAACTGTTCGTCGACTGATGAATGTGAATGCCGGCGCCATATTTCTATTAAAGAATATTTTGTATGACGGATTCTTGGGTTCGGCGCCAGGACTGTGACGAGACGTGACTGATGTGTCTGAATCGACCTTTAGGGTTAAAAGCCATAAATTACTAATAGCGGTTCTATATAATGACATATACAGAGTTTCACACTAAAATATTTTCCACCTAAGAAGCAATTAAATACTGGTAACTTTATTATTAGCGGACCAGATAAGAGGCGATATATTTTAAGTATATCCTTTATTTTAACCTTTATGAATAACATTTTACTGCTCTGTTGTTTCAGTCAGCACTGCTCAACAAGTTATCGTTTATTAGTTTTCATATTTTATTGCAATACTACGAATACGGAATATTTATTTAAACAGTGAATTTATTACATGTTATTTTTTTTTTAATTTCTTCTGACGCATCCTATAATGTAGGTTTTTTACCGAATAATCAAAGTTATGCCTTTACAAGAACATATTATTTGAAAAATAAGGAGTACCATGTATCATAATAATTGTAATCTCCTTTATACACTTTAAAAATTTGTTTGGTAATGTATTTCTTAAATCCACAAAATCATTGAAAAATTATTCATGCTGTTTAAAAATATCTTTCTGTTAACGACACTGTCATCGACAAGGTAGCTCAAATTCAATAGTCATATTTCTCTTCTGTTTATCGTTAAAAATGAATTGATGGTTGTGGGTTGTATTGGTGTTATTTAATAATTTAACAAAATACAAAATCAGCAAAAATCTTATTTAAAACATGCGAACGGTTTTTGCAATCACAATCAATGCATTGTTTATGCTTGTTTAGCATTGGCTGTTATATAATTTGTGTTCAAATGTTTCTTCTGTTGTAAAGATAGTGCAAACACTCCTGACCATGGAGCTGCGTGAAGGCGGAGTCAAAATTCACGTAAAGGCAGAAAGGTTCTATTGTAAGCTGAGAATTATACAGTGTGCATAATACAATGCGTTTCGCATGGAATTGGGCACAAACACCAAATTTCGTCATACTGTGACGTGCAAGATACAAAATTCCTGAAAGTATTCATCTAATTACAAAGTATTGCAATGTATTACGTGCTTTTGCAACATAAAACACAAATTTATATGGAGGTTAACCTTGTTTAAAAATAAAACAAACTAATAGTCAAAAAAAATAATAAAAAACGAGCTGTCACAAGTTAACATTAATTAAAAAAAAACTAAACACACAATTGACAGCTCAACTCAAAACCTAAAATTTACAATTTTAAATGTCAACGAAAGCAATTATTTAATTCAAAACAAATTGTCTGTCTTTACTTTAAAATTTGATCAACAAGTTACCTGGATTTTCACTAACAAAATGCACTAGAATTTGTGGAACCAGACGCCACTGGAATATCCGAAACCATAACTGGAACTTTCTTGATAACGCTTTATAATGCATTTATACAATCCAATGGAAACATATTATTGTGTATTTCTTTAAGTTAACTTCAATAGAAATTTTTATTATATTTTTTCTACGCGTATATAATAAAATATGTCTAGTGGCTGTAATGCCAGTGTACTAGGTTAAAGTGATTCTAAAAAAGAACACACCTACACCCTAAATTATTTGTGTTGGTATCATGTGACGTCACAGGCTATGACGCCGATGACGTGCATCGTTATATAAATTAGATGAAGTGTACTGTGAGTGGTCAGGAGTGTTGTATTGTCTATACAACGCCTCGTCCTTTTAAAGGTGTAGTAGTTGTATATTATAAATACCTATTTTTTATAGAAGTGTAGAGAAGCGGTACTTTAAAGCAAATGAGCAATTTGGAAGAAAATAAAATACAGTCGAAACGTAGAGTGTTATCTCCAGAAGAAGGGCGTTTAGTTCTAAAAGTCGAAAGTTATTTCAATTTGGAAAAAATAATATGGGTCCATTGACATCTGTTATGGGAGTACAGAAACGCACATGCGATGCTTGCGGTATCTCAGAGAGGACATTCCGAAGAATTAATAACATGAGTGAGGATGAAATAAATAAAGTAAGCAAGAGAAATCGTCGACATCCAAAAACCTTAGATTTGCTCCAGTCAATTAAACTTGCAATTAAAAATATTATATATAATATGTATAAAGCCAAAGAACATGTAACAGTTAGTGCTGTGTTGCAAAAAATAAAAGACAAGAACTGTGGATATTAGTTTAACAAGTTGTGGAGAGTGCTGAAACATTTAGGTTTTCGATATAACAAGACAAATAATAGACAAGTACTGTATGAACTTGGATTTTCGCTAAAGGAAATATGTCAAAATCATCCTGGCAAAATGGCACCACGAAATGTTATTCTTCTAGTCGTTCCAGTAATGGTAAACGCTGCATTATACTTCATGCTGGAAATGATGAGGGTTTTATTCCTGACGTTAGTTTAATTTTTTCGTCCACAAATAATACAGGTGATTATCATGGAAATATAGATGCAAATATTTTTGAAGAATGGTTGAAGAAAATTTGTTAAAAAAATTGGAACGACCATCCATAACAGTGTTGGATAGTGCATCCTGCCACTCAAGAGTAGAAGAGAGATTTCCTTCAAGCAGCTGGACAAAAGAAGAAATAAAGTTGTGGTTTGACAGAAAAGAAAATTTATCACAGTGACATATTTTTAAAAGTCGATTTACTTCAAAGGTGTGGAGAGCAAAAATTCAAAAGAAATTTGCTACTGACCAAATGGCTCTTTAATAGGGCTATGGAGTTCTTCGACTTCCGTCCAACCATTGCCACTATAATGCAATTGAGTTAGTTTTGGGGTATAGCCAAAATTTTTATAATAAACATGCATCCAAAACAACAGATGACGCTTTTTTTTAATGGCATAGGCAAGTGCCATATAGCTAGTCACAACATGAAAATGTTCTACCCAGAAAAAAAAGTAGTAGTACAATATAAAAGGGATAATATAAAATTCAAACTTAAGTAGGCTTACAAATTTTAAGTATTAAAATTATTATTAAGGATAGGATAGGGATAAAACATGGACACTCGTTTCTCGTCTAGGGACCCATCAAGACATTGCTTTTAAGACAAACTAGATTAGGTCACGGACAAAAGGTAATAACAAATGGGGTAAAACAGACTACACGTGTTTAAACATTTGCTGAAAACTCGGAAGTGATTTAGTGCCAATTTGTTTCAAGGTTATATTTAATACAGTGTCTGCAGAAAGTAAAGTCTTGGATGTATTTTATTCAAATTTGGACATACCAGCAACTTTGCAAGTATTTTCCAATTTAACTGCATTCAAAACCATTCGTATAATTTTCACTCTACGCAAAATAAAGACTTATAGGAGACCTTGATGAACATTTGATGTCGACAAATAATTTCGAGTATTCGAAATATTCCGCCCCACTTCTTTTAACACGCCCTGTATACATATATTAAATTCATTTTATTTGCCTTTGATACAGTAAAATCCAATATTATTACTGAAAATAAAACACAGGTAATTAAATATTTTTACTTTTCAAGCGATCGGAATTAAATATTAACGCCCCACTGTTTGAGGCCCACTGATCATATCTTAATTAAAAAAAGAGGTTTAAATCTTTGTAAGTAGGTATATTTAAAAAAACCCTTAAAAGGGCTACATCAAATTAACAAACGTTTTCGGAATAATACTTCCATCATCAGGTTAAAAACCTAAAATAAGTATGAAGTATTACGCCATGTTTAGTAAACACCACGCTGGCTAGACGGGTTGGTGAGTTTTATATCAGCCGCCCACTCTGGGTCAGACGCTGTTCGTAGCCTTCCATTCTGGATCAGACGCTACTGTACAAATAACTTTATTTTCTATAAATGTGAGTGGTATTTGATATTATAGTATAATAATTTTCTTATATGATTTGGTAGAGTACTTGTCTTAATGTTACAGAACATCTAAAAATTAATATCCACCGTGTCTTTGGCATTCCACCGCATAGACAAATAATAGATGGATGGGCCACCGAACCCGAAAACGATCAGTCTATACTTCAAACATGCACGCATTTAGGACGCATGAATTATTTGTTTTTAATCTGTAGACAGGAAGAACAAATTCCAACGGAAAGCACTTACAATGCTCAAGAAAATGACAGAGGTATGTACATTGCGATACTAAATTAATGATCTTTCAAATCTGTAGATATAATTTGTAGGATGCTTGATAATATTAAGTTATTTTTTATAATTTTAAAACGTTTTGATATAAGTTTTCTACTGTGGAATATTTAAAATATACCTATTCTATATTGCTTTTTTTTTAGATTGTATGGAAATCAGAGCAGCGAAAAGTTGTATAAGAAAAATTAATACTCACATAGTAACGTCAGGCACAAGGTTTAATATAAAAAAATTATCCGAAATTAAGGAATCTGTACTTCTTGCTCCTCCTCTAAATGTAAGTCCAATTCATTTTAGAGCAAAATCTCAATTTTTTATTATGTACGTTTTATAACTATAACTTGTAAACTAAAACTTATTTTTAACTTACACCAAGAATGATGATGAAGGAAATATATTGTTGTTACATAATCGTAACAACTATTAGTATATAAATGTAGCTGTAATTCAGTTTTTAATTATATAATACATTACAATGATTAAAATAATTAATTGGATATTTGGCTATGCCTTGACTAATGACAGATGTCTTTATCATGTATATCACTCTAGTCTATAATCTGATAAATTAAATGAAACTATAAATCACAAACCACGTGTCGTAAGTGGTCAAAAGTAGCCGAAATTACGTGACTATCATGCATTCTCGGAAATTTTGAATTCGATCATTGTCGGCGCGTAAGAAAATATGTTTCCTTGCTAATTACTTTACATTGTAACAATATAATATTATATTTCTGAGTATAATAATAAAAATAATACATTAGATCTAGTTTATAAAATAAGTTTTCATTCACATTAATAATGTGTAGACTGAGCGGATGTGCGTACACATACCACTGTTGTGTATGTCTTGTTGAATGTGCACTACAACCCTTTATGAGTCTTGGCTTGCTTAACAATGTTCTTCCATTCTGCCCTGTCGGATACTTTCCTTCGCCATTGACTGATGTTCATGGTTTTAACCCATTAACGCCTACGGGTCCTATATGGGGACACAAAACCGCCCTCTATTTATGTGCGTGTACTGACAAATTTAATTTGAACGCCACTGACTGAGAACTAATAGTTCGAAATGCTCATCGGATGCGCCTGACAAACTGACAAGATCAGTTGCTTGTTGTACTCGCGAGTGAGAGGTTGTGCTATTTTTTATTGGACAGATTATTTTCGACGACGAAAATATGGACATCCCGTTACGGTAAGTTAAATTATGTCGATCTTATTTGTTTTATTGTATATCTAGGCGATCGATTTTATTTAAAAAACGTATTTTCGCAATACTGTTTGTTGATTTTCTAAATATATGGTTCTAGTTTTTCATAATTTCGTCGTAAACGTCACTGTCACCATATGGGACCAGTAGGCGTACTACGGACAATATGTATTAGCTCATAGTTTTATACTATAATTTTAGTTTCAGAGGAATAACTCTTCAAGAAGCGTTAGATATCGCCTACGAATCTGATAACGAAGTCACTGATATATACATACAGCCACCTGACTGTCAGGATCTGACCGATGAGGATTCAGGGAATGAAGATGAGGGTGGAACTGTTGAAAATTTGAGTAGTCGTCAACTGTTAGCTCCAGCTGAAGTTGTATTTTCAAATGGTACGAGAGTGGAGGACACATCTGAAGATTTAGCAAATGAGCAATTACCTACTGTGGTACAAAGTGACGCTAAAGCAAATTCAGGACTGACGATAGTAACTAAATCAGAGAAAAGTGAATTCATTGAGGCGGATCTTGTTTATCCTAATTATCCCTTTCCAACACCGAATTACTCGCCATATCAAAGTTTGAGTTCAGTTCAATTATTTGAGTTGTTTTTTTACAAAAGAACAAAAGAACTAGAACAAAACGAAGCTATTGGGAGAACTCGAAAGACATGAAAAACGTTCTAGTTGCAGAATCTATGAGACGCGATCGATTTTTACAAATTTGCGATGTTTGCATTTTGCTTAGTAACGAAAGTATTGACTACAATGACAAAATGTATAAATTACGTCGCATAGCCGATCACTTAAAACAAAATTTCTAGAGCATTTTATACCCGGACAAAACCTTTCGTATGACGAGTCCATGATAAAATACTATGGAAGGCATGGATGTAAACAGTTTATACGCGGAAAACCTATAAGGTTCGGGTATAAAGTATGGTGTTTGAACACCAATAGTAGATACCTGATAAATTTCGAAATTTATCAAGGAAAAAGTATAATAAAGAAACAAGGTTATGATGCTATATTCGGAAAATCTGCTGCTCCACTTATACACATGATTGAAAATTTAGGAGCCAAAAAAGATCCCCGCTATAACTTCTTTATAGACAACTTATTCACTGGTGCTAACCTCCTTTGTACTTTGAAAGCAAATGGGTATGGAGCAACTGGAATAATTAGGGATGACCGAATTCAAAAAGAAGTTCCTATACCGCCTAAAAAGATTATGGAAAAAGAAGCTCGAGGCACCTACACTTCAACTTTTGAAACGAACGATGGTATTCTTTATGTGAGGTGGATGGACAATAATGTGGTAACAGTGGCCAGTACGTGTTTTGGGGTTACTCCACTGAAATCTGTAGAGAGATTTTCAAGGAAAGATAAAAGAAACGTACCTATACCACGTCCGGATGTAATTTCCAAATACAATAAAAACATGGGAGGCACCGATCTGATGGATGCAAATGTATCTTGGTATGTAAAGTACATTTGTGAGTGACCCAAAAGTGGGTTCATCTCGACGTTTCGCTACAATTGTATGTAGCTTCTTCAGGAGAACAAAGAAAAAGAAAACAAAAGACAGGAAGATGGGTAGTTAGCAACGGTAACTCAGTTACTCAACGCAACCAGAGGGGAATACTAACTACCAAGATGGGCATTTGGTCACAGTAACTCAACTACTCAACGCAGCCAGAGGTGAAAACCAAATGCCAGGACAGGGATTCACGTCCAACAGCTCAGAACACTAACGCGTCGAGAGGCGGGGAGTGAATCCGACGATTACTCTGCTACCGCTCTATTTATAGTCGCGGTGACCTGTCGTGTCGGGACGTATCGGCACACTCCGTGGCGCGAACGTCAAGAAGCGCGCGCTGGCCAATCATGTGGCTGCATCGTGGTAGCGGGACCGGACGACGGCTCTAGACTGAGATTCCAGATGGGAGACAAGTAGTATCCTTTCTCTCGATTGATATTATGTGGATTTTTTCGGATCTCTAGAGATTCGCGGATTTTCCTGGAATAAAAGAAGGGGCTCTTAGAAATAATATGGGTTTTTTTGAACAATATGGAATGACCGGTTTCTTGGCAGTGTTCTGCAACTGCAGAATGGGAGATAAGACCTGATCGAATGCATCTTTGATGCTCTTGAATCCGAGTTTTGACGGAACGACCAGTTTGGCCAATGTACACATGTCCACATGAACAAGGAATAGAATAGACACCACAGGAAGATAGGGGCGGTAATGGGTCCTTAGGAGAGGGTAGATATTGTGAGATTTTCTTGGGTGGTCGAAAAGTAGTCCTGATACCTTCTTTGCGAAGAATTTTGCCAATCCTATCAGTGACATTTCGAATATACGGAAGAAAAGCCACATGAGTATTACCCGAAGATTCTGAATTTGTCGTCCTAATGTGTAAAGGGGGATGTAGATGTCGGTGTGTAATATTTTGAATTGTGGACTTGGAGTAACCGTTGGCGACAAGGGTTTTTTGCAGATGGCCAAGTTCTTCTCTAAGGTTGTCGGGTTCAGAAATCGAAATGGCCCGATGGATGAGAGAGTTGATCACAGAATTCTTTTGGGCAGGATGGTGGTGTGATGAAGCATGTAGGTAACGATTCGTGTGAGTCTTTTTTTTTGTATAAACAGAGTGACCCAATCGGCCATTGGGCTTGGAGGTGACTAACACATCGAGAAAGGGAAGGGACCGATTATTTTCTACTTCCATTGTGAATTTTATACTCGGATGTTGTGAGTTAAGATGATTTAGGAAGGGAGAAAGGGTATGTTGACCATGGGGCCAGATGATAAATGTATCATCAACGTAGCGGAACCAGACTTTTGGTTTTAAGGGGTTAGATTCTAGGGCTAAAGACTCAAAGGCTTCCATGAAAATGTCAGCAATGACAGGGGAAAGGGGAGAACCCATTGGTGTTCCAGATATTTGTTTGTAGAAATTGCCTCTAAAAGAAAAATATGTTGAAAGGAGGCATTTTCCGCAAGATCTGCCAAAACCAAAGACTTGTTATCATTGGTCAAGTGATCTCGCAGAACAACTAGAGAGTCATGTATGGGGATATTGGTAAATAGGGATGATACATCGAAACTGACGAGAATGTCTTGGGGATCGACCGTGAGGGAGGACTAGATATTTATATATCACTCTATATCTTTATCATGTATATTTTTTGTATACCCTGGAACGTCTACAGGGCCCATATGGTGACAGCATGTTTTTTGTATATTTTGAAATAAAAATTTATTTTTTTCCAAACGTAGGTTAATTTTACACCTTTCTTTATGAAAGTTCAAAAAAAAATCGTAAATTCAAAAAAAATTTTTTCTCGGCGTTAATGGGTTAAGATCCCTCTCTACGTCGTCTATCCTTCCTCTTGTTCTGTTTCCTTGGGGCTTCCATCTCTGGACTAATTTTACAACTCGATTATCTGGCATTCTTTCTAGGTGACCAAGCCAGTTTAGTCTTTGTGACTTTACAAATCTAACAATATCCGCGCTCTGCATTAGTTCGTCCAGCTCGTGGTTCATTTTAATTCTCCATGAACCATCGCTCCATGATTGGTCCAAATATCTTCCTTAGTATTTTGCGCTCAAAAATTCTGAGTTGATTTTCATCAGTGGTTGAGAGGGTCCACGTTTTACATCCATATGTGACCACTGGTCTAACTGGTATTACTGTTTTCTAGATTCTAAGCTTACGGCACCGTCTACTAGCCGAAGGTTAAAACAATACAGGAAACCTATTACATAGACGTTAAGATTTACAGGTATCTTATTCTTAGCTTTAAGAGTTATCTTTGGTCAATTACTGATTGCTGTCAATACTGTTAACTCACCCTATAGATAATTATATTCTTATTTTAATTTCTATTGTTTTTAGAGAAAAATTCTAGTTTTGTATATGCACAATTCGAGGGAGGAATTTTCAACTACATTTTTAAGATATTTACGGGATGAACAAATTGCTGACATTTTGAGAGACTATTTCTATATTATTGGATGGGATGTTGAAAATAGAACTCATCACCCGGCGCTTTGTAATGCAGTAGAAGATGCTAACTTCGGTCAACTATCTGCATTAATTCAGTCTGAAGCATGCTCAGCAGTTATTATTCAGAATATAAACGGATCTCTCAGAATTCTTTCATTTTTAATTGGAGACGACGTGGTTTCGAGCCGTGACTCATTTTTATTATATCTACAAAATTGTCGAGACTTTTTGATTGTGGATCGCAGGCTTGCAAACGGATTAGATCGTTCTTCACAGAGCGACGAAATGACCTCGGAAACTTTTCAAAAAATGATGGCAGACAGACTTGGCGATAGAGATTACGATAGTTTCGCTTTCGACGAACATCATCTATTAAAAAAGAACATTGGTTATGCATGGTTTGGTCAACCAAATCAAGAAACAGGAAATGGATATGACGAAGATCAAAATTCGCAAATCGACATTGTGTACAATGCTATTTTAAAACATAATAGTAAGTACAACCAACATATTCTATTACTAACTATCTCATATCGTCGGTAAAAGTGCAAGACCTCGTATTTGCAATTAGAATTCATTTATCATGTTACTTAGAACATAACGCTTGCCTGCGCATATATGCACAAAACCTCGTATGTCTATAAAAAAATATACTCGGTTCACAATTTGTTGATAGCTCACTACAAGTTTAATCCTAATTAGAGAACTGAAATACAGAGAGGATAGGTAATACGATATAATAGTAAAAACCAACCTGAAACTGACGATTTAAGATGTTTTCGACTAACCCACCTTGTATCTGCCGGAATACAATACAGCGGTCAAGCTTATAATCCGATTAGGAACGTATTTTGGCCGACCAGTGTCGTAGAGTATATGATTGAAACATTTATTTGAACTAAATAAATATATTTTTTAAATTGTATTTTTGTTTTAATAAAACTTTATTTTATTCAAAAATAAAGTTTTTTGCCATTTGTAAAAGATACATTTATTTAATTAAGGGGAAAGGCACCAAATGTGTTTTAAATGTATCCATTATTTTCGAATTCGGAGAAAACTAATAAATATTTTTGAAAAATTTAAAAGCAGAATGAAAGATTACATTATTACTGAGGGTATTATATATGTGTATACTGATGTATATTACAGAAAGTCCCTGAAAACTTCTACAATGTTTATTTTATTATGTTATGCAACAGGGGTGAAAATAAAAGAGAGAATATAGTATAATTTTTAATTGAAAATATTGCATGCAAAAGAAACTTTTTATTTATTCTAATAAATATTTTATTCGGCCTTTAAATTTTTCCAAAAAGGCTCTTTAGTTTTCTCAGGATTTGAAAAAAAAATCGATAAATTTAAAACACATTGAACATTTTGACAGGCGACGTTTTGCGCCTTTCCCCTTTAATACCTTACGATTACAACTACTATCACTTACCTTATATAATTACGATTAGAAAACTATTCAAATTAAAAATAAATAGGATCAACTTCGGAATCCGAGTCGTCTTGAGGGTTAATAATTAGCGGTTGTGTCTTTACGGTCGCATCAATTATGTTATCAAGATCCCACATTTTTTGTTCTTCTTCATGTCTTACTGCATCTTTCCAGTTTTGTTCTGTAATGTGTTGTAAAGACTCGTATAGCAATTCACGTACAGCTTGTATTTTATATGACGTATTTTTTCTAGCCACATAACTTTTCATTTGTGCCCAAATGAGTTCAATTGGATTTATTTCGCAGTGGTAGGGTGGAAGTCTAAGGACTGTGATGTTTCTCCTTTCCGCCATTTTGTCAACTACGTATTTCTTGAACTTAGATTTGTGTTGCCGGGCAATTTTTAAAAGTTCTGCTTTTACCATTCCATCTTCGTAAGGCAGGTACTTATTCCGCAGCCAGTCAAGAATATCCTGTTTTTTCCACGCAGTCGTTGGAAGTCTTTCTACTAGTCGTGAATGATAAGGTGCATTATCTAATACTATAATTGAATTTGGTGGTATGTGTTCAATCATCTGCACAAAATACTCTTCGAAAACATCAGCTGTCATCTCCTCGTGATAGTCTTTTGTGCTTTTGGACTGAAATTCCAACAAACCATGCTTAACAAATCCTTTTTCACTGCCAATGTGAGAAATTATTAATCTACTGCCTTTACCAGAAGGTGGGGAGATACTAGTAGACCAACCTTCCATAAAGGCTTGCCTGGAGCTTAATATATTTTTATCTGACCAAACTTTTTTTAGAGTATGACCTGAGTTTACCCACGATTCATCCTGGTAGAAGATTGGCCTTCCTTCAGCCCGGAATTTTCGTATGGATCTTAGATAATTTCTTCTCCAACATATTGTCTCCTCCCGGTTAATCAAAAGTGATTTTCGGTCTGATTTCTCCCACCGGAAATTTAATTCTTTTAAAACTTGCCATAATTTAGTTCGTCCGATATGAGGCAAATCCGGATCATCTCTAACTTCTTGTAAAATTTTATTTAGGTTTGGTATTTCTTTTTTGAAAAAAAATCCATGAATTTTCCTTCGAATACCATTTTTGGCAAATTCATCAAGTTCAATAGGCTTTTTCCCTCTCTTTAAGTGTTCGTTTGTGTTTGGGTTAGCTATACCGTGTTTTTTTCTTTCTGATAGGAACCTATATATAGTTGACTCCCCTACGCCAGTCATGTTGGCACAACTTTCGACTATGTTGCGAACAGTGTTTGTGGGATTCTGAGAAACCAGAGCATCGTGAACATTCAGGACAATAGTCTTCTCTCTTGGTGAATAGACAGACTTACTGACTGTACGCAACAGTACCGGTGTAAAACTTGATGATGTTGATGATGAAGCCATTACAAACAATCCAACAAAACGAGCACGAGCGAAAGGTACGTATATGTTCGTAGGTATATGGAATAAAAAATCACTCACGCACTGCATATAATTCGCAAAAGAAATATTCGAGACGCTAATTACTGCCGTAGAAGCGGAAACACCGACGAGCCGTAAATTACATGCGATCAAAAACGTACTAAACAAACAAATTGTTTTCGTTCGTAATAACTTCACCCTTTTAAGTTAAGTTTCGAATATAAACTAAACAGACGAGGTACGTGGCCAAATCCGGCATCTATACCCATTATATTATTAAAAATCTGGGGAATTCCATCCTAATTATCTTGCAACCGATAGTACCTTCGGATATAAATACCAGGTTTTCTAGTAAAGTGATTAAACGCGAAGATTAGTATTGAAATATCCAAAGAGATAAGGTATTCTTATTTACAAAATTGTTAATGGTTAAATTATTATTTTTATTAATATAATATAATAACCAACATTAGCCGTGAAAGTTTTAATTGTTTTTTACTAAATATATCAGTATTAAAACATTATTAATATTAATTTTAATGAATAAACACCTCAGGAACGCCTATGATGATACAAATTTTACGACCGTTTGATGATTTTGAGGCATATTTCGTGCTATCAACAATTTGTGAACAGAGAATAAGTTATTTCGATCTTATTTTTTTGACGATATGCAAAACCCCGTATTGTAGTTGAGTAGTTTGTTTGTTAATATGAAGTTTTGTTCGTCAGAAATGTCATAAAGCACCGTGGATGTTTTCCTTCTTTTTTTTTTGGTAATTTTTTCGTGATTTTTATAATCTGTCGAAAGTAAAAAACTGGTAAATGGTCAAAGACCGAATATTATTCAAGATAAGTTTTGTAATTAGTTTATTTGTACAAAAAAAAACTGTTTGATTCTGGATGGGTTATGTTAAACTTGTTTTGTATTTGATGGATTCGACCGTAACTTGATGGAAATTCATTTTATGTATCAATAAAATACTGAAAACTTTGTTTTCAAACTTCCACAAAATTTATTTTAACTTATCACTACAGCTGCATGCTTTTAGCATGCGTTTACATTTTATAGTCTCTAATGAAATAGATTGAGGAGGGAGAGAACTGTTTGTCTCAGTTGGTCGTTCAGAATTATATCTGTGTTTTTTAATTTGTTGATTTCCATAGATTCTAACAAGGATAGCTTAAGGCCTTTATTTTGAATGTGAAGAATTTTAAATTCATCATTAAAAGAATGATTGCGATCTAGAAGGTGAAGTGCGTATGTAGAATCTGTTTTTCTATTATTGAAAGCCCTTTTATGTTCTGCTATTCGTTTATTAAAGTTTCTACCAGTTTGACCGATGTAAGTTTTTGGGCAGTCGCCACATTTAAGTTTGTACACACCACTGTGTAAATGTTTTTTATTTTGGCTCTTGTTGTTTATGATTTATTTGTCTAGGTTCCTATTATTGATCCTCTAATATTAGACTATGAAACTCTGGCTAAAATGTGCTGTTTAAAGCCAGACATGCTACATTGGATTTATAACATGGTATCAAAACTAGCATTTAGATATTCATCAGTGATATGGTAGCAGAAGGTGCAGCAAAAAGTGCCATCTTCAAACTAAGAAAGGTGCAAAAACTTGCTTATCTTAAAATAGCGGCAATAAGGGGCACCGCAACGGTAGCTATGGAAGCCCCACTGGACCTGTTCATTTAACACGTAAATATAAAGGGGGAGGAAGGGATATTATAAACTACAAGAAAACGTTGTAGTCGATTAAGTTGGACGGTAGATGATGTGCCTAATTGAGAATGGTAAATGCTCCGATAAATGGCAACACAATCACACAAATTAAGATACCTTGTAGACCTTTTCAAGTGGACAATTGTCCATGGGAGGTATGGGTAGAGAAAATATGATATTTGGAAGCGAAGCGGATCAATATATGCACACATAGTCAAGTAGCTACGGCGACTGGTGGAACATGACAGTGCCACATTGGTATGAGCTCCAGGTCACCGAAAATACCCCATATAATTGATCTTTTATTTTTGCGATATTTAATACATTCAATCAAAAATAAACTATTATTTCTGAAATTCACAATAGAGTAAACATGTTTATCTCTACCAATAAACATTTATGTATGTTTTTAGATTTATACGCCGAATACCAAGATCAAATTGAACTAGCTTTTATTTATGTCGTCTTAGAGCCTACTGATACACAAGCTGTAGATCGCAGGAGAGAAAACCCAAACTATGATCCACGTGTTGATATATCTCCTATTCCGATATTTGTTTTAAGAAAGTGTCGAGTAGAAAGAGGTGAAGGTTGTAGAATTTTTATAGGTCACGATGGTAGAGTGTATTCAAATTGGCAAGATTATGTAACAAATAACAAGTTACCTGAAAGTGTGATGGTGTTACCAAAAAATGGAAGGTAAGTAACACAATGTATTGTAATTATTCTTCTTCAAGTGCCGTCTCCACTAATGAAGGTAGGCTATAACCATTGCAAATTCGTCTCTATCTTCTGCTTTTCTTAAGAGCTTCTGTGTGTTTAACCCGCTCCGGTCGCGAATATTTTTTCAGCCAGGATATTTGTCGTCTACCAGGACCCTTTTTCCTTCGATTTTACGTTTATAATCAGCTGCAACAACTCGTACTTATCATTCTAATTATGTGCCTCAAATATACTGTCTTTCACCTTTTAATGGTGGTCAAAAGTTCTCTGTGCAACACCATTTCGTTAGTAATATGATCGGTTCATGTTATCTTCAAAATTCTCCTAAAAAGCCACATCTCAAAGGCTTCCAGTTTTCTCATTAAGTCAACATTAACAGCCCAGCTTCGACACAATAAAGAAGAATAGAGTGGATATAACATTTTTCCATCCGATATCGGATTTGCAGATAGAGATTTTGGTTACTCAGAAATTTTCTCATCTTCAAAAAGGCTGCTTTTGATTGCTCTCTTCTTGAGCGAATTTCTGATTTCGGATTCAGATCTTTCGTAATCCAGACTCCTAAGTATTTAATTTTGTCCACTTTCTCAATATCTTAATTTTTTATCTGGATCCTTGAAATGACTTTGCCACTCTTATGATAACCCTGGTTTTTGTTTTCTTTATGTTTATTGTTAAACCAAACTGTTCCCCAGTATCACAAATTGTGTTTAGTAACGTCTACAGGTCTGTCTAACTTTCAGAGATAATGACTGTATAACGCATGTTATTTATATTTTCACCATTTATCTTGATCGCTTCTGTACAATTTTTAAGTTCTTGCGTAAATAACTCTTCGGAATACAGTAGAACTCTAATTATCCGGATTAATTGGGACCGGACCCGATCCGGATAATCAAAAATCCGATTTTTCTCGAAAAAGGCCTTTTCCGGGAAAGAAACGTAATTACATCAAAACACAATGGGGAACATATACGGTATTTATTATGGAAAACAATGTAGTATAAACAACAATATGTAAATGACAAAATTAATTATTTTTTTAACATATCAGGCAGAGTCAGTTGTTTTGCTGACTTGAATCGTTTCCGCGCCGCCAAGTCTCGCATTCTTTTGACGGTGAGGAGTTGCAGGTGGTCACACTCTGGTTGCCGCTCCATTCATTTAAGCGCGGTGTCTAGCCCTACAAATACCTCACTCGCAGTCGGCCCCTCGTCTAGCTCGGTAGCGAAGTCCTCGTCTTCCGGTTCCGGATGTTACAACACTTTGGACGAGTTCATTATCATCGAGAATCTGGAATCCGGGATCCGTAGAATCACTTAACAACCACTCCTCTACATCCTCTGCACTGCACTCGGAACATCCGGGAATGTTTACGATGATATCTCTGATTTCTTCAACCGTTTCCTCGACATTTTCCTCCCCTCTCTCTTACTCTTCTTTTTGGCGCTGATTCTCTTTCTGCAGCTCCTCCTTTGTTGAAATTCCTTTCAATTTATTCCAAGCCCTTCTCAATGTTGTCGCCGTAACCATACTCCACGCTTCCGCCACCACATATAAGCAAGCTTTTAAAATGAGTTTTTTGTGATGAGCGACAATGCCTTCTTCATTTTTATTTTCTATCAACAGTTTTCTAATCAATTGTCTCCTGCAATGACGCTTCATTGTTTCAATAACCGACTGATCCATCGGCTGCAACAAACTCGTTACGTTTGGTGGCAAAAACATTGCTCGAAATCTTCCATCTTCTCTTTCTAGCAGGTTTTCAGGGGGGTAGGTGGGTGCATTATCAAGAAATAACAGCACCTTGCTGCCTTCTTTTCCCAATGTCTTTTGATGTTATTTGATTTCAGGTATAAACACTTCATCAAACCACTTTGTAAATAAAGTAGCAGTCATCCAAGCCTTTTTTGGTTTTTATAGACCACGGGAAGTTTTTTTACATTCTTGAATGCCCTGGGATTTTTGGATTTTCCTATCATGAGTAGGGGTAATCTATGATTTCCGGTTGCGTTGGCACAATTAAGGGTAGTCACGCGCTGTTTGCTTACTTTGTGACCAGGAGCACTTGATTCTCTTTTTGAAGCCAATGTAGTTTTTGGCAAGCCTTTCCAGTTTAGGCCCGTTTCATCAGCATTGTATACAAACTCAGGGTCATAAGAATCTAACTCAACTTTAAAAGTTTCAATGAAGTTTTCAGCAGCTTTAGGGCCAGCTGAAAGCTTCTCTCCACTTCAGTCCAACTCTCGGATTCCGTGCCTGGCTTTAAAATTACGTAGCCACCCACTACTCGCTTTAAATGAACCCACACTGTCCATATTCTCGGCAAAAAGCATAGCTTTTTCACAAATAATAGGGCCTAAAAGAGGGCTCCCCAATGTTCGCTGCTGCAAGAACCACTTAAACACCACTTCTTCTAGTTCTTTATTTTCAGCTGTTTTCATACTCTTTCTCGATGAACTTCCGTCCTCATTCTCGAGGACGGATACAAAGTTTACAATAGAGAATTTATTTTTTTTAATGTCAGATACTGTTGACGTTCCCACTTTGTACACCTCGGCTAAATCTTTACCTGACACACCTTTGTCCAACTGTTCGATAATTTTAATTTTATCGGCCAACGATAATACCACACGTTTCCTCTTAGAACTAACTCATCGTAGTTCACTGAACACAATAATCAAAACACTAAGGAACACGGACAAGTCAACATATTAATTCACTCTACTGCAGGTTGAAGAAGCACTGAACGAATGACTAGCAGGTGCCGCGCGAGCGGCAGTCATCGCTCCCCCTCCCTACAGCCCGTTGCTATCGCTACACTACAGTGTGTTCGCAGTTAGAAGGGTTCATGGTTCATTCATCAAGTTCCTGCATACATATTTATTTCTCTCAGGACGTGGCGTCTATACAATTGGCGATCCGGATAATTGGCGATCTGGATAATTGGAGTCCGGATAATTGGAGTTCTACTGTATATATTAAATAGTAATGGTGAAAGTACACAACCCTGCCTCACTCCTCTATTTATCTGTTGCGAATCCGGCTATTTTCATCGAATGTTACTACAGCCTGTTGGTTCCAATAGAGATTTCTCACTATGTTAATGTCATTTTTGTCGAATCCTTTTCTCTTCATTGTGTCGACATTCAAATGTATCGACATTTTTGGCAATAATTGTGAAACTATACAGAACTTCCACTGTTCCGAAGCTGTTACGAAAGCCACTGTCTATTACTCATCTGCTTCGCACTCTCTGAATATTCTTGCATGTATAATCTATAAAAATGTTTTTAATAAGTGTGACATTAAGCTGATTAATCTATAGTCATTACAGTGTTTGGGGTTCTTGGTTTTTGGTAGCGGAACAAAGGTCGACAGCAGCTATTCTGTAGGTATCTCACCAGATTTGTATATGTTGTTAAAGAGTGTAGTTGTTGCACTTAAATTGTCTTCGTCTATAAGTTTAATCAGCTCGATATGAACTTCATCTGGCCCTCGTTATAAATTTGTGTTGGTTTCGTTCTTATGTCCATGAAAAGATCTTCAATAAATTTAGTCCATACTTGTTTTTTTTTTCAATTGGGTTATTAATAGGTTTATTGTTTTTCTCAATTAATCGGTTAGGTGTATTTGTTCGTAATTTCCAGTTAATGCTTTTACTTTTTTATGTAAATTATAATGGAATGCATGTTTCCATTATCGACTTTTCCTTAGCCTCTTTTATTTTGTTCCTTACTAATTTATGTTTTTCCCTGTACTTATTTGGGTTTTGTTTCTATATTTTCTTCTTTGTTCCATGATTTGTAGTATTTCTTAAGTAAGTCATCCAAGATTTTATGCTTTCTGTTTTCTTTTGTATAGTTTCTTTCTGTGTTTTTATAACAGAATATTTGATTTTGCTACACATAATGTCCACATTCTCAGTGTTTTTATTTCTGATGTTAATTTCTTCATTTCTTTATTGATACAAGTTGAAGCCTCAGCACGGACTTCTTTTATCTTGAGTAACTGGGTATTCACCTTAGAACTTTTGGATTTTATTATCTTTTTTACCTTCAGTTTCATTTTTGAGACAAGGAAGTTATGGTCTGCGGGGACATCTGCTCCAGGAAAAGTCTTAACGCTTACAATGGAGTTTCTAAATCTTAGATTGGTTAGAATAAAGTCGATCTGATTTGTAATGCAATTTTGTCTATTATCCTGTGGTCACCTCCAGGTATACAGTCACGTGGTGGTAATCGGAACCATGTGTTTATAATCCCCAGGTTTTCTTCTTGACGAAATTGTGCCAATCTGTCGCCTCTAGCATTACTTATTACTAACTAATAATCACCTTTTATATTTTCGAATAACAAACACTAACATATTAAACAAGCAAATCACATGGTTTAGTGAGGAAGTGAAGACAAAATGCGAAGAGAAGAAGAAAGCCTCGTTACAATACAACCACTATAAACGAATCAGAAATGAAACGAATAGTTTAATTAGACAAATAAAAAGGGAACACTGGTAGAGCTCCTCAAAACGGATGAAACACGACTGTATGGAACACAAAAAGAAATATGGAGAATGATCAGAGGACAAAGAAAAGAGATAAGCGAACTAATAAAAAGGAAATCCATTTAGAAGGAAACATGGCAGACTACGTTCGAGAAACATATCTAGAATTATTAGAGGACACAGTTGATCCCATTTGGAGTGATTCTAAAAGAGAAATCCAAATATTCTAAAAGTCAGCACTCAACGCAATTAGGAATATTACAATAATTGAATGATGCAAATACTAAAACAAGCAGGAATTAACAATCAAAATCTAAAAATAATTAGAAATATTTACTGGAATCAGACAGCAAATCTCAGAGTTGAAGGTGAACACACTGACTAAGTGAAAATCATGCGTGGAGTGAGGCAAGGCTGGATTTTGTCTCCTCTAATCTTCAATCTGTACTCTGAAAGAATATTTCTCGAAGCTTTGCACGAAACTGAAATGGTATTCTACTAAATGGTTACCGGCTATATAAGATATGCAGATGACAACATAGTATTTGCGGACAATTTAGAAGACCTATAAGTTCTTCTGAACAAAATCACGTATTACAGTCAACAATATGGACTCAATATAAACGTTAAGAAGACAAAGCTTATGATAATTAGCAAGAAAAGGATCTCTCTCTCTTCAATCCTGACCCCCCAGGGGGAGTTTAGTGGTCGACGTGATGTCGTGTATTGTCCGTCTCCAGAGATCTCTGTCTCTGGTCATTTCTTTGAATTCATGCATAGGTCTTTGGCATATTCCTGTAATTTGATCTATCCATCTTGTGGGGATCTTCCTCGTGATCTTCGGCCTTCTATCTTTCCTTGTATTATGAGTCTTTCCATGTTTTCTGTGTTTGCTCTCATAACATGCCCAAAATATTTTAATTGTTGGATATGGATTTTACTAGAGAGTCGTTGGCTAACTTTTAGCTCTCTTAAAGTTGAATTATTTGTTCTACGGTCGGTCCAAGGAATTCGTAACATTCGTCTCCAACAGAACATTTCAGTGGCGTCTATCTTTCTTCTCTCCGATTGTCTCAGAGTCCAAGATTCACATCCGTAGGTCAGTGTTGGGAATATTAAGCAGTTGTTCAACCTTATCTTTATCGCTCTTGAAATTTGACAGTCCTTCCATATTTTGGTCATTTTTGCTGTGGCAACTTTTGATAGATCACATCTACGTTTAATCTCTTCTTGTAATGACCCTGTGTTTGTGATTAATGATCTCAGATATAAGTATGAGCTCACAACCTCGAACCGGTTAATTGTGGTTATGTGTGGATGATTTTTGTGTAGTCTATCCACTATCATGATCTTTGTCTTTGATATGTTTAATTGCAGACCAAATATTTGACTTTCGTTTTCGATCAGTCGTATAAGTTATATCAGCTCTGCTTGACTATTTGCAAGAAGGGCTGTGTCATCTGCGAAACGTAGGTTGTTTAGTTTATGACCATTTATTGAGATGCTCTTTTCCCATTCTTCAAGTGCTCTTCGCATAATATACTCCCCATATATGTTGAATAATTGTGGAGATAGTATACATCCTTGTCTGAAACCCCGTTCTTTCGAAAGTGTGTCAAATACTTTAACTGATCCAGTAATGTGTTCATATAGTTCGGTTATAAACGTAATTATATATTGTGGTACGCCTACTTCTTTTAGTATTCGCCATAAGTGTCTCGACCCTGTCGAACGCTTTACGGTAATCTATAAAAAAACAGATGTATAGTGGGATGTTGAATTCCCTAGATTTCTCGATTATCTGTCTTATATTCAGCAGCTGTTCTCGAGTGCCTCTACCTTTGGTAAATCCAGTTTGCTCTTGTGGAATTTCTCTTTTAAGGAATATTTTCAGTCTCTCATTGATTATATGTAGCATTATCTTGCTGGCATGGGATATAAGAGAGATAGTTCTATAATTGTCACATTTATGGAAGCTGCCTTTTTTATGTATGGTCGTTATTGTAGATTTTGTCCAGTCTTCAGGTCATTGTTTGGAATGCCATATTTGGTTACAGAGTAGATGAAGTGACTTTACGCCGGTTTCTTCTGTGGCTTTAAGCATTTCTGCTGTTATCATATCTGGACCTGGTGCTTTGTTATATTTGAGCTTGTTGATAGCCTTGATAGAAGAAAAGGATAACAGAAGGTCAACTCTACGTCAACCAATCCCCTGTAGAAAAAGTGACGCACTACAAGTACCTCGGCACCATAATAAATGAAGAATGGACCAACAAGCAGAAGATTAGAGCATGCATCGGAAAAGCTAGATCCATATTCAATCGGATGGGGGCTTTTTTCAAGTGTCACAACCTCTCTCTTGATACAAAAGTAAGATTGCTGCGATGCTACGTCTTCTCTGTCCTTTTTTATGGTTTTGAAACGTGGACTATGAACGAAGATATGTGCAAAAAATTGGAAGCATTAAAGATGTGGCTATATCGGAGAATATTTAAGATCCCGTGGACTGATTGAAAAATGAGGAGGTCCTCAGAAAAATGAATAAGAACCGAGAGGTACTGACCACCATCAAATATCGAAAGTTACAATTCTTCGGATGTATTATGCGAAATGAATCCAGATATGCTCTCCTTTAAGCCATCCTGCAAGGAAAAATATTTGGAAAACGAGGTCCAGGAAGAAGAAGAACATCTTGGTTAAAGAACCTCAGAATCTGGTTAAATACAACATCTGTGCAGCTTGTCCGCGCTGCTGTAGATAAGCTAAAGATTGTCATGATCATCGTCAACATTCGTAACTGATAATTACATCAAGAAGAAGAAGAATAGAGTCAAGAAGTCCGTCCCGATCGGTTAATATATCCATCGTCGTCCATTCCTAATAGTAAACTAGTCTATATCGTATACCTTTCAAATTTAAATATAATATAATTTTTAGATACCATGTAGAGAATGAGAGGGTATTACTCGAAAAACACGAAACTCCCAGCTGTGGGGTATTAAACACCGTACTAAGAGGTGGTGATAGAATTAGTGCTGTGGCTGGTATTGGATCTGGTACTCTGATGTTTGCTGGTGCTGTAACAAGTGTTATTGCTGCACCCGTTCTTATTGGTGCAGCTGCCGTAGGAGCTACAGCTGGTATTTACAGTATTACTAGAAGTGCTTTTGGTTTGGCCGATAAATATACCCACGACGAGGTAAGTAAAATCGTTCTGGTTTATTTTCATTAAAAAAAAATCAATTAGTTAATAAAATTTTATACATTTGTCTGTGTTTGAAGGTACAAACGGAACTTGGCAAGAGATATCAGTGATCTTTACTCAAGTATAATGCTTAAAATTCATATTAAAAACAGTTTTTCTTTTATTGTATCGTAATATTAAGATTTTATTATTAAGATAGTTATTAATTTCAGAATTTAAGTATTTTTAACTCGGAAGCACGAGGAATCTATATTAATATTCTGGCTGGATCTTTGGGATTTGTTGGAGCGGGTGCAAATATGGCTGTCTCTCAATTAATTTCACGTGGAGCCAATATTGGTCAGGTAAATATAGTTACTCTTATTTATCATTATTACTTCATTATTACAAACGTGTTTTAAAATTGCGCTCATTATTATCCCATCTCATGGGAATTACTATAAACCCTAAAAAAACGAAGTACATGCTAATTACAAAAAGACCACAAAATATACATCACCTATTGGTAGCATGATAGAACAAGCAGAAAAATATCAGTACTTGGGGACTTTGATCAATGAAACCAATGATCATACTGCAGAAAATAAACAGGCAAATAGAGATTGCCAGATCAGCATTTATACGAATGAATCCACTCCTAAGGAGCAAAAATCTAAATTTGGAGATCAGACTACTTACCATTCGCTGTTATATACTTTGAATATTATTATATGGAGCTGAGACTTGGACATAAAAAAAATGTAATTTAAAAAGAATCGAGGCTTTCGAACTCTGGTTATACCGCAGAGTATTAAAAATATCATGGACTGATAGAATTACCAATAAAGAAGTACTGGAGAGTGTTGGTAAAGAAACAGATGTAACCACCACTATACAAACCAGAAAACTGGAATACCTATGCCATGTGATGAGGGGACCAAAATATGAAATTTTGAGACTGATAATACAGGGAAAGATTCAAGGAAGAAGATCTGTTGGCCGAAGGCAAAACTCACGGTTGAAGAATCGTAAGTGATTGGTATCAATGCAGATCGATTGATTTGTTCAGAGCTGCAATATCAAAAGTGAAAATAGCTGTGATGATTGCCAATTCTTCTAAACGATAATTATTAATATAATTAATAATCTTGTTATTTGTGATTAAGTGAGTTTTTGAGTTAAATATAGTTTGTTAACCTACATTCTGCTTCAATTAATCTCTGAACTCATAGAACAATATTTAAAATTAGTTTTTGGTAATATCTCACTAGTACCTTAATTTCAGGGAGTTGGATTGGCAGTTAATGCAATTAGTATGGCAAACATAGGAATTAGTGGTATTGGTATCATAAACTCCAGCTACGAAGTCTTTGATATGTGGATAAACCATAATCAGGCTCCTTCCGCATTGACAATATTACAATTGTCTTCATCAGTATTGTTCTTTGGCAATGCAGTATATAACTTCAGAACTGTTGGACAAATGATAGACGAAACACAGGGTAGAGTTTTAGAAGATTATCATGACTCCTTGAGATCCAACAGACACAGGTATGTACCTTTTATGTTCATCAAGGACTAAATACTATAAATATATCGAATTCAAATATGATAATATTAATATTACAGATAGTTGTTCTGTAAATACATTTGTTAGTTTTTTTGCATTATTTTAGTAGCAGTACACTTTGCAAAGTGTACTCCTACAAATTCACATGAATAGCCGCGTAGCTCATCTTTTATATCTTTATCGACCAGAAGCTTGCAATTTGGAATACAAGAAACTCGTATGGTGCCCACATGATATATGCCTTGAGCTCGCAATAATACCAACAAAGGAAACGATGTATAAAAATTATCGAAATACAAGATGTTATGAACGAACGAATCCACTCGTATCACATAAAACAGATGGTTCGATACCCCACTTGTGTATTTTATTTGTCATGTATTGGCGCAAATGATGTTTTGTTTTGGTGCTGCCAGAGATATGATATCTCTGGGTGCTGCACATCTGTTCCCGATGCACAATCGAGCAGTCTTCGGAACAGAATCAAATCGAATGTCAACCAATGTTCGAATGCGGAACAACACATCGTAGCTGGGTTCGCCTTTCTTGACTCAAGTGCTCTCATCACGAAAGGATAAATGTTGTTTTAACACTCATTTAAATGAGATTGCCAATATATCTAAAAATATCTTCACTGTCAACCAATTCCTTAGTGAAAAAATACCGAAATAGTTCCATTGGTATCTCGACCTCTTTTATGGACTATGGTACACTTGAGTTACCCCGGAAAGCTACTTGATTGACATGCAAACGCATGGATTGTTTTCGCCATACGATTTTGGAAAACTCACCCGAATTTTTAGCTATTGATTCAATACCTGCGAAAAAGTTATAATACCAGTTTAAGAAACTCATCAAGACTCTTATGTTACAACAATTCATACCTGCACCAGTGAAACCTTCAGCAGAAGGCACAATTGATGGACCAGCAATTTCGATTTCGGGCAATGGAGAACGAGGTCCTTTCAGTTTCTTGAAAGGCGATGTTGAAGTTGATGACATATTTCAAAATATTGAAACTTTACACAAAGATCCGACAGAAAAATATCAAAAACAAATTAAGCTAGCGTCAGAAAATTCAAAATCAATAGTAAATCCAATAGAACAGAAATACCTTAATATCATGAACCCACAGCCTCCTTAATTATACTCTTTCATTAAACTACACAAACCGGATCACCCAATAAGACCTGTAGTTTCTGTTTATACAGCTCCGTCATATAAACTTAAAAAAAAACTGTTAGAGATTATTTTAGAACACACTCAATTTTCACCTAAATTTACCATAAAAAATACAATAGAACTAGTTAATAAAATACATTTTCAATTACCTAACAACTCCAGATTAATTTCATTTGTCGTAAAAAATCTTTTTCCTAGTATCGCTCCTACAAAAACTTTTATTCTAGTAAAAAACCTTTTAGACCAAAACAGTACAAATCCAATAATTACATCTGAAATTTTACATCTTCTTGAAGTTTGCATAAACCAGGACTACTTTGAATTTAATAATCAAATATATACAAATAACTGTGCAGTACTTATAATGGGCAATCCTCTAAGCCAATTGCTATCAGATATTTTTATGGATCATCTAGAGACAAATATTTCAAAACATCCCGTATTTAAACAGTTTTTATATTGGTGGAGATACGTAGCCGACGTACTAATATGTTTCACTGGAACTAACAGGCAACTCGACCAATTTTTATCGTATATTAATTCACTTCATAGTCATATTGAATTTACAATAGAAACAGAACAAAATCAATCCATAAATTTTTTAGATTTAAAAATTATCAAATTTAAAAACAAACATGATTTCTCCATATTTCACAAACCTACCCATACTGACACGACTATACACAATTCATCATCCCATCCAACACAACATAAACTGGCAGCATATCATAGTATGTTACATAGATTAACAGAAATTCCGATGTCAAAATACAACTTTGAGACAGAATTAACTATCACTAAGCAAATAGCAGTAAATAACGGATACAACGAACAAACAATTAATAAAATGTTAAATCAAAAACTACACAAGAAAGCCCTGAAATTAGTATTTCCACCACCAGTGAAAAAACCCAGTACCTTCTGCTCAATTACATATATAGGCAAAATAACAACAAAAATAGCCAAACACATAAATAAGAAAGGAATAACACCAGCTTTCCGAACAAATAACAACCTAGGCAAATATATTAAAAATAACAAGAGTAGAAACTTTAACAACTGGTAGCAACTTTAATAAACGAATAGCAGAACATAAAAGGGCTTTCAATAATAGAAAAACAGATTCTACATACGCACATCACCTTCTAGATCATAATCATTCTTTTAATGATAAATTAAAATTATTCACATTCAAAATAAAGGCCGTAAGCTACCTTTGTTAGAATCTATGGAAATCAACAAATTAAAACACACAAATATAATTCTGAATGACCAACTTGAGACAAACAGTTCTCCCCTCCTCAACCTATTTCATTAGAGACTATAAATTGTAAACGCATGCCAAAAATAGGTCACTTGAGAAAGGCAATCAGCCGAAACAGCTGTAGTGATGAGTTAAAATAAATTTTGTGGAAGTTGGAAAACAAAGTTTTCAGTGTTTTTGTGTGCCGGAGTTAGGCAACACGGATGACGGGGGTTAGACATGTCAGGTGAAGGTAGCCGAAGCTCGGGCATGGATGTATGTTTTAGGGTTGAGAATAAACTGATGTTTATGTGAAGTATCGATTATTATTTGTAACCCCTCTTCAATAACACGACAGTTTTATTGTTACATAAAATGAATTTCCATCAAGTAACGGTCGAATCCATCAATTACTCCATTTTTTTCTTTTACTAGAAACAGTTTAAAATTATTCGTACTGTACTTTTAATATCTGGTTCATTAATGCAGAATTTTTTTTTTTAGGAAAACCTTTAACAAACTTTTGAAGGAAACAATTAGGCAAAACGATGGTAATCAAGTACAAGGAAACGCGGAAGTTATCAAGACGATACGAAATATTGCAAATAAAGACGATGTATTTGCCGTTCTTACAAGAAATAATAGGTTGATGAATAGAAATGGTATTCGCTTCTCCGCAAATGGAGGAGAAATAATACTAAATGGTCAAACGATCAACATGAACGAATTTATAGGAATGAACAGGGAACATGCAAGAGCCTTTTTGTCAAATTTGCCCACAGAATCGAACATATCAATAAGTGATACTAATTCTATGATTGATAATTTCTCTTTAAACAATTGGTCTATACCGAATGTTCAAGTATTTGCTGGATTTGCATTAACCTTAATTAGCAGATTCTCAAACGATATTCAACACATGATAATGGAATTAGTAGAAAGGGCCACAGAATTTCTCTTGAGACATTTTGAACAAATACTTAACGAAACATTTGGTAACTCAGCACATCAAGAAATAATGGTCGCTGTAATGGAATACTTCTCAGGACAAGCATCAACGGTTGTTCAGAGATACTTTACATGGCGCAGTACTGGAAATCCGCATTACTATGAACCGTACTTCGTCGAAATACCGGTATCTGAAGTATCTGAAAGGGATAGATGGATTTTTAGCAGACTGGTTAAAATTTGTCATGAAGCTGGTGAATTTATTAAGAATATCAAGGAATATTTGGAAGCTTGGTTACTAGATAGAATAGCTCAGCGACAGCTCAGAGATGAAGCGATTGCAAGAAGGGACAGGCATTCGTCCAGAAACACTAATACGGTTTCTTGTACTATTTGTGGAGGAAATTATTTTACACAACCATAACAATCATAATTAACATGTATTTTATATATTTTATTAAACTTGTAGAAAAACTAGTTTTGCATATATTTTCTTTATTTTCCCTCAAAATCTACCTTTCAACGAATTCCGCATTTTTTTATTTAAAATAAGTGTTGCATTTTATTTTAGATAATTTTAAGTTCCTCAAAATTTCATGACAAACATGCAACTTAAATCACTTTGAAATTTCACAATTGCAATAATACTTTAGCATTCTGAAAATCCGTATATACTCCCACGTGTAGAATAACTCGCTTTCACTAAAGTATAAGAGTAGTGAAACATCTGGTAAAAATTTCTTCGTCTCATGCAGTTTCTTCTTTAAGTGCCGTCTCCCAATCGGAGGTTGGATCTCATCCCCACTATCTTTACTCTATCTATTGCTTTTCTGAAGAGTTCTATAGAACTGTATTTATACACCAGTCCCTTAAATTTTTCAACCGTGACACACTCCTTCTTCCTATACTTCTTCCTCCTCTAATCTTTCCCTGTATTATCAGCCTTAGCAGTTCATATCGCTGTCCGCTCATTACGTATCCCAGATATTGTAACTTTCTTATTTTTATTGTTTATTATTTCGCATTCTTTGCCCATTTCTCGCAATATTTCCGTGTTAGTTTTCTTCTGTGTCCATGCTATTCTAAGCATCCTCCTGTAATACCACATTTCAAAGGACTGTAACTTATTTATGTGTTCTTGCTTCAATGTCCAGCATTGCAGTATCGAAAACACGTAGCATCTCAGTGCTCTTACTCTCAGTTCTAATCTAAGATCTTTGTTGCAGAGAATTGTGTTCATTTTTACAAACGCATTTCTTGCTATTTCTATCCTGGATCTTATTTCGGTTGTTTGATCATTATTGTCTGAAATCCAGGTTCCTAGGTATTTGTATTTATCAACCCTTTCTATCGGTACATTTCCCAAATGTATGTTTGTTGGTATATATGTTTTCTTTGTTATTATCATGTATTTGGTCTTTTTTTTATATTCATTTACTGCTATCTTAAGTACTTTAAATTAAACTTAAACCCAAATTTTAGGGACTGCAAATGAAGGTAGCATAAAAAAATTAAAAAATTTCAAACCCCCTCCCCTCAGAGAAATTCTGGGTGCGCTACTGGATCTAGTAGAAGACGAGGAATACATGTAATTACCCTGTTAAAACAAATGCTAAAATAATATATAAAATAATAATTATAAGCACAGTAAACACAAGCATTTCAAATTTCCATAATGTACTGGAAATACATAAAATCGATTCTAAAAATCTCGATATGTCAAATAAATTTACTAGCACAACGAAAAAGGCAGACCATGGCGCATAGTAATCACGTCAATAACTTAGTTCGACTTTAGTTAATGGTTACTCTGTAGTTTTCATAGCAGTATTCTATATATTATACGTCATTGATTCTACTTTTGATTTGATTTCGTCATTTTGTCTAACTTAGATTTTTGAATCGATTATCTCAATTATAATTCTAACAAATAATAAAAAATTAGGGGGAAATCAAGACCCATTTATTAAGGATAGTTAGCTACAATATATAATTATGTTCTTTGCAGCTGTGTTTAACATTTTTTCCCTGAACAATTCCGTAATAATCAATACCCAATCAAAGTTATATACATCCATTGGACATCAGAAAATAATTCACTTTAAAAGCCAAAATACTAAGAGTTGATAATAATAAGTAACTTATATAAATGAAATAATATATTGCTCGTAAATATCAATTTGAACTTATATTTATAAATTGAGTATTCTCAATCTCTAAGTTGATCACGTGACTCCGCGAAATGACAATCATCAGCCTGTATTTTTCCATGATACTATGAATAACAAGATAGGATCTTCCCGTAGCTCAAAATCGGTCGGGTTCGCGCATGTCGTCATTGGAGACTAGAATTTGAATTCTTGTTAAAGTTAAATGAGATTTGTATGCATTCTGTGATGAAATTACTAGACGAAAATAAGTTAAGAGGTTAAATAATTACAATAATCGTACACATAAGGATATCTCCAAACTATTTATTAAAGATTATTTATTGATATATACAAAAACTGACATTTCGAACGTGCAAGTCTCCAATGACGTCACAAAAACATGCGCAATATCTTATCTTATAGTCATAGTATCATGTATTTTTCGCGAGCCTCCCCACCGATAAATTTAGTTAGATATGACGAATGACGATTGACGATGATAGGTGAAGTACTCAAGTCAAAACATTTTAGTTTTTTGTTAGTGGTTTTGTTATTTCTACGATATAGTTAGTTTAATTTAAATTTGGATCAGTCTATCTAGGTAATTTATTAATTTTTTATTAATACATGTTTCAAATAAATCAAGCAGTGACATAAGCTATTATGTATGAGGTTATATTCTTATGTTATTATTTTTCTATTTTTACAATTAGTAAGACTAAATGCGTATCTTTCTATTAAAATCAGTTTAAAGTGCATAAGTACAATTAGTATTTCCATAGTCCCTATTGATTTTAAACCAGGCACATTTGTTAGGTACAAGGCCAAGTATTTTATTTATTTAAGTAAAGAATCACAGTAAAACATATTTAAAAAAATGTAGACAAAAGTAAAATTATTGTACAAATATCTGTGTCTTTTTTTTATATATTAACTGTAGTAAGCTATAATATGTTCCATACACAAGGAACACTAATACAATATGCAAAAATATATTTTTGATTTTGAAATATTTCTCAAAATACAAATTTAACAAATATACATATATTTATATATTATAATCAATACTAAATATACTGTATTATGAAAGTGAGTTTATCTATCTAAACTGTGGTTGTATGCATCATCACATACATTAGATTAGGTATCATATTGTGTGGGTTCACATGCAGTATGATGTGCACTGATGGTATTACAATAACAAATATATAAGTCCTTCAGATCCATAATCTATAGTTCATTTGGTATTGTCGGTGTGTTGGTATTGTCGGTATTGTTAGTATAGTGGAGCATGTAGAAAGTTATGAAATAATGAAGAATTTAAGTATATAAATTTTAAATACAAAATAATTTGCTACCTGATGACTAAACCAGGGTAATTATGTAAAGAAACATTCTATTTTTAAACCAATTTCATAATATGGGATTGTGTTATATTTAGAATATTTTTCTTCTTCTCATGGCACCGTCTTCTTTTGAAGGTTGGTGATCCAAATGGCAATTGTGGTTTTGGAAACTGCTGAGCGAAAGATTTCAGCAGATTAGTGGTCGAACCGTCTTAGGTCTTTCAGCTACGAGTTCTGGGGTCTTCCTACTGATCTTTTGCTCTGTACTTTTCCTTCCAGTATAACTTGAAGTAATTCATATTTTTCGCCTTTCAACACATGACCCAAGTATTGCATTCCTCTCTTTGATTATTCTTAGTAATTCTTTTTGTTTACACATTCGACGACCTACCTCAACATTAGTAACTCTGTACCCATGGAATTCTCAACATTCGTCTGTATATATACATCTCAAAGACATCTATTCTTTTTTCTATTTCAGAGTCCATTGTCCAACTTTCACAGCCATACAGTAAGACAGAAAAAACGTAACATCTAATCACTCGAATTCTAAGCTGCCGACTAAGGTCTGATCTTGTAAAAAATGTTTTCATGCTCATGAATGTTTTTCTTTCTTTCTTTCTTTTTTCTATTCCAGAGTCCATTGTCCAACTGTGACAGCCATACAGCATACAGTAACACAGAAAAAACGTAACATCTAATCACTCGGATTCTAAGCTGCCGACTAAGGTCTGATCTTGTAAAAAATGTTTTCATGCTCATAAATTTTTTGCTTGCTTGTTCGATTCTTGATAGTATTTCTTTTTTTGGATTACACTGACTATTGATATTTGCTCCCAAATATACACATGTACATTTATTGGTGTCTTTGAAAATACTAAAGTTTTAGTTTTTGGAAACTTTTAGATGTAAACCGAACATTTCGCTGTGGTGAACTACCACATTTATTATATTTTGTAGTTCTTGTGCGTTTCTTGCTATTAAGACAATATCATCAGCACATCTGATGTTGTTTATGCCGATTCCATCATCATTTTGGCTTTACAAGCTATTTCAATTGTTGCTGTTTGATGCCAGTATAGTTCTGAGATAATTTACAAGTCTTGTTCGTCAACTCCAATTGTTCTCAGAATTTCGATCATCTTTTGATGGTTAACACAGTCAAATGCCTTTCGATAGTCAATAAAACATGCATATACATCTACATTCATGTCTCTGTATCGTTGCGTTAACACATTTAAAGCATAAAGAGCCTCTCGTGTTACCAATCCGTTTCGAAATCCGAATGGAGTGTCACTCATCTAGAACTCGCACTTCTTGTAAATTCGTGTATGGATAATTCTGAGAACAGTTTTAAAGACATGAGACATCAAGCTTAATATTCGATAATTATCGCATTGTGGGGAATTCGATCTTTTTGGTAATGCTATGAATATTGATTTTAGCCAGTCTGTTGGTATTTTACCTGTATCATATATCTTATTGAATAGTGATGTTATTAAGTCTAGGCTTTTACTTTCGTTATCTGCAATTGGTTTTAGTATTTCTGATGATATTGATATTGTCTGGACCGGTGGCTTTTCCAGCTTTCTGAGATTTTACTGCTTGAATCACTTCTTCTTTGGTTATTTCTGGGCCTTTTTTATTTATTCAATTATCTGTGTATGGTGGAGAACAAAGGTGGTCTATCGTCGTCAAAAAGAGTTTGTATGTATTTTTTCCATCTCTAGTTTGTCTTCTGTACCCAATAATTATTTCGTTATTATCATTTTTTAATATTGTTGCTTGTCTCTTTTTGTGTCTACCGTCATTTCTTTTACTTTTTTATAAATATTAAAGGTGTCAAATTTTCTCTGAAGTTGTTCGATTTCTAGGCATTTTGTTGACATCTAGTTTTCTTTCGCCTCCCTGCACTTTTTTCTAATGATTGTATTAATTCGCTTGTATTCTATTGGGCTTGTTTTATGTTTTCGTTTT